GGAGGGGAAAGTGTAGGGGGCGGGTTTCTGGGATATACCCTTTGGGTGGCTGTTGATGCATGGAGGGGATTGGAACCATGGCAATGAGATGATATATGATGGAATGAATGTAAAACTAAAGTTCCCCCATGTAAACTATCATATAATTCACAATAAAACATTTTTAAAAAAAATAGTGGTCCTTCTTCATTCCTCAGACCAGTACGTATACTATTATTGATCACTTTCATAGTCTTGTGAACCATGAGCCATTTTCCTACAGTTGACATTCATTTCTGTGATACTTTGACTAATATCTTCTGCTCTATCAAGATGTTGAGCTCCCTGGTGCTACATGAAACATGTGACACTGGTTTATACCTGCTGATATGTGTGTGTCATTTGGTGAGCTTTGAATGAGGCTCACTTTTCGGTGGTTAGGTCTCAAGCGTCAAAGGAGCAGAAGAGCATACAAAACAACAGTGACACTAAAGACAGTTGTTTAAGGGGGTAGAAGAGAAATGAGGCAGTGTCTTTTTACTAAAGTGCAACAAATATTCATAGATCCATAAACTGGGTTAATACTGCCGTAAGGAAGCCATTTCTGAAAGGGTGAATTCCAGAAAGTTTCTAATCCCTAAAGTTATTATGAAGACAGCTCTGATTCCAAAGCTAGGAACAACAGAAAACAAGCTGTCAGTTATAGTTGAAGTCTACTCTACTCTCACATTAGTTACAGGATGTTCCTTCCTCTGTTTTAATGGATTGTCTTTATTATCTTCTTCTCCTTGAAGTCTCTCAACCAGGCATTTTACCCCTGCCACGCTTCAAAGTGATCCCTTGTTCTTCTGCACTTGATGTGAGAGCAACTTCATCTGCTTTGACCTCTTGGCCCAGGACTACAAGTTATATGCATGATGGTTTCTATAGTTTCAGGATTTCTTTTGGGTACAGCCCCAAAGTTCATGTATTGGGTGTTTGGACACAACTTTCCTGATGACTTACTCCTGAGTTCTCATATCCTCTTTTGTTTTGTTGAAAAATTCTCCTCCAAATCCTGATACTTTTATCAGGATAACAGTGGAAACAGTAGGGAACATGAAGAAATTCAGACACACCTTTGCCTTCAAGAGCTCACAGGTCACAGTTAAATAACTAACCTTTTATTTCCCTGTAAAATCTCCAGGCAGAATCTTGAGGATTACAATTACCAAGGTCTCTGAGAGGACATTGGAAACAAATACAACTTGTATTGAACATCTTATCACTCAAGCATGCACAAAAGGGAAATCCAAGAGGGAAAATAAGGAGCAGCTAATCATATAGATTTAATGCATCCCACATTTAGCTCAGAAGTTGGTGAGTGTCTGCTCTTTAGCCCAGTCCTGAACGTCTGCTTCGCCGAAGATGAGGTAGAAGACCAGGCCCAATATATTAACAGCAGTCGAAAGCAAGAAGACATTTCTCCAACCCAATTCTGCATACTGGAAGCAGGAAACTATAAGTCATTAACTGTCACTCGTTCTTAATCATCATGGCTCATAAACGTGCTCCCTCCCCCAATCTACTCAAGCCTCTGTGGGTTTCCCACATATGCCAGACACATGCTTATCTTAAGGCTGTTGCTTTCGTTATTTTTGCCCTCTATTAGACTATTACCTTTAGTATCTCACTTACTTCAGGTCCTTGATTAAATGTAACCTTTTCAGTAGGTGTTCTTTAGCCACCCTCTTTAAAATAGGGATTTTATTCATTTCTTGTGTCCTGTCCCCATTTTCAATGTATTCTTCTCTTAGCATTTACCAATGTGTCAGACTGTAAAGTTGTTTGAACTGCAAGATTGGTGGTTCAAGCTCACCAGCTGCTCCTTGGAAACCCTATACAGGGTCACTTTGGGTCAGAATCGACTTGACAGCAGTTGACAACAACACTGTAGTAAAAATGTACTTATTACATTTGTTTTCTATCAGTTATTTTCCTTGAATAATTGAAGCAATAATAAAGGATATTTGAAGCAAAATAATAATTTCCATCATCAGGGCAAGAACTTTCATTTGATTTATTTCTTTAGGTAGCATACTTGGTCCATGCTAAAGTTTAATATATAGTTATTGAATGGATAAATGAATGAATTGTGGAGAGACAAGATCAGTTTTATAATTTTTATTTTAGGGAATTATTTTGTAGCAGTGTGTTAAATCAGTTACTAGAAGACTAGAAGAGAATTGAAGCTTCAGGAGAAAAGAAAAAGGGAAAAGAATGGATTTAATAAAGACAGCCCTTTCTTTGTTGTTCTCCATTAATTTTTCTGACTCACTTGTGGAACTCCACAGGGACCTTAAGGAAGGATGTTCAAGTGAGTGTCATGGATATCTTTTTTCATATAATGTCTGTATGAATGAGATGCTTTAATTTAAGCCTTCAGGTGAATTTACTAATTATGACAACTAAACAGTTAACGCTCCTGGCTGAAAATCAAACGGTTGCCAATTTGAGCCCACTCAGAGACATTTTGGAATAAAGACCTACTTTTGAAAAAATCAACCACTGAAAGCTCTATGGAGCACAGTTCTACTCTGACACACAGACCTCATAAGTCAGACTTGACTCATCAGCAGCGGGTTAGTTTGCTTTAAGTGTAGCATCTAGTAGAGACAAAGGAGCTCTGGTAGCGTAGTGGTTACGAATCGGGCTGCGAACCTTAAGGTCAGTGGTTTGAAACTACCAGGTGCTCCGCGGGAGAAAGATGAGGCTTTCTACTCCCGTAAAGATTTACACCCTCGGAAACCCTGTACAGGGTCACTATGGGTCAGAACCGACTCGACGGCACTTAACAACTAGTAGAGACAAGCTCTGTGAAGAAAAAAACACCAGAAAGCCATGCTGTGCAGAGGAGTCTCTGTTCTAACTATTCATGTAAATGTGAGATGCAAGTTGTTCCTTCACTATCATTCACTCAACATCTCATTCATTCATTTGTCAATATTGTTTGGTGACCAACTCGTCCTGTTTTGCCTGAAATTTTCAAAGTTTTAATGCTGATAGTCCCACACCCCAGGAAATCCCTAAGTTCTTATAAGATTTCAGAAAATATTAACTCATAGCTCAAGAATGAAGATGCCAATTTGAGAACTAAGATGTGCCTGACCCAAGTCATGGTATTTTCAATAATCTCATATGTATGTGAAAGTTGGACATTAAATAAGGAAGACCTTAGAAGAATTGATGCATTTGAATTATGGTGTTGGAGGAGAACCTTAAAAGTAGCATGGACTGCCAAAAAATAAACCAATCTGTGTTGGAAGAAGTATAGTCAGAGTGCTTCTTGGAAACCAGGATGGCCAGATTTCACCTCTCACACTTTGGACATATCAGGAAGGACCAGTCCCTGGAGAATGGTATCATGTTTGATAAAGTGGAGGGTCAGAGAAAAAGAGAAAGACCCCCAACGATATGGATTGGCACAGTGGCAGCAGCAGTGGGCTCAAACATAGCAATAATTGTGAGATTAACGCAGGACCAGACAGTGTTTTGTTCTGTTGGTTGCTATGAGTTGGTACTGACTCAATGGCACCTAACAACAACAACAAATTCTTAGCACTGAGCATGTCTTCTCTTTCTGCACCCTGATTATGTGCAAATTTCCCAACATGACCAGAACTTAGGGTGGAAATGAGAGCATTTGTGGGGCTTGGGACACTTCAGCTTTAAGTTTAGCTACATTGAAAGAACAGAAATAACCTTAATCTTACTTCTTGTGACCTCTACAGATCCTGCACATACTCATTGCTGTTTCTTTCATAAATATTTTCATCATGACACATGACCTCACCTGATTGAGGAAAACTCCAGTCACTGTGGGAGAGATGGCTCCAGCTATGTGTGCAAAGACTTGTGATACTCCCTTGAGAAAACCTGTGTATCTGTAAGAAAAAAATTAGAGGAACATTCTCCTGTGAGCAAAGGGTTCATCTCTTGTTACAACTCTGTGGTATCTCTGAGAATGTCTGGATTTGTGCTGACCCTGAAAACACCGAGTGAAATGGACTAACCCACTGCTGGCAAGTCAATTTTGACTCATAAAGACTATATAGGACAGAGTAAAACTGTCCCAAAAGGCTCTCAAAGTTATAATCTTTATGGAAACTGACTACTACGTTGTTCTCCTATAGAATAGCTGGTGGGTTAGAATGGTCAACCTTTTGGTTAACAGATGAGCACTTAACCACTGCACCACCAGCGTTCCTGAAAGGGAATGAGTAATTAATATAATCCTGAGCTAGATAGAAAACATCCAAGGGGCAACCTCTACTAACTTGTGAACATTGTTTACAGAAAATGTTCAGGTTAATGGTTTGCACCTAGATTGTGTGGTCTCTCGACTATTAAGCCTGAGCTTGCAGCCTTGTTTTGGATATGAAAGACCCTCATTAGATGAGTTTATGGCTCTCCTAAGACAAGGGCTTCTCTAGGGTATCTCAGCAGTTGACTATCTGAAGAAATATGCTCTGTGCCACTGTGGAACTGTACATAGATGTTTAGTCATCTCTGATCATTACCTATACGTCCTTTTCCCTGTTGGACCATCTTCACTGTCTTATGTGAGCATATGTCTCATGGTTTAGGGTCTCATGTGTCTTTTTATTTAGCAGACCCTGTATAAATGCCACATTCCTCAACAGAAAGATGTATGTTTCTATTTCTCCTGTCACATTTTCTTTACCTATGTGTCATAGCAGATTCCTGGTATGGTGCTGTAGGATCAGCACTGGACTGTAAACCACAAGACTGACAGTTCAAATCCACCAGTTGCTCCTCAGAAAACCTCTACAGGGTTGCTAAGAGTCAGAACTGACTCAGCGACACTTAACATCATCACAACACATGTCATAGCAGGTAAAGGTCAGCTTGAACTGTACTGAGCTTTGTGAGGATGAGGCAAAGAAGTTCCTACCGCGGAGCAATATCCAAGATGTTAATAAGGGCTCCTGAGTCACAGAGGCTGCTGAAACCGGGAGAGAGCACCAAGAAGGCCACAGTGGTGTTGGCGCTGGATCTGACCCAGTACAGGGACACCATGAGCAATGATGAAAAGAGAACTCCTGGGGAGCAGGGGGAGGACAGACAAAGAGTAAACAGGTGGCTTCTCTGGGTTTTCCCATGTCCACTCCATAACTGGCTCACTCCTTACCAATGGCAGTGAAGACTTTCCTTATGATGATGAGTCTGAGGATTTTTCTGGAAAGGAGAAAATCTGCCAATAGACCTCCGAGAATAATGCAGATGAAGCCAGATATAAATGGCAGTGAGGCCAGGATCCCACTCTGAAAACCAGAGATGAGTTAAGGTGCAGGTTCTCACACCCACTCACCATGACCCAGACTGATGTCTGGACTGATTGTCCACATCTATGACTTTTCTTTATCAACGCAATACTTTTCATACAAATTTATTGTTATCCATATAATTTTAGAGCTTGGCAAAACATGCATACGGTTCAATTTGCAGAAGATGACTAGTGCACTTTTCATATGTAGAGACCACCTGAACATAGAGACAAATAAGACGTTGCCCAGTAGAAAAATAGACATAGGATATAAACAGACAAATTACTGGAAAGATAAAACAAGTGGTTTGTGAACATTGAAACACACTCAACCTATTCATGATAACACCTTTAAATAAGTTCTGACTCATAACGATCCACTAAAGAGTTTCTGAGGAGAAGCTGGTGGGTTTGAACTTCCAACCGTGGGGTTGGCAGCCAGTGCTTATCCTATAATGCCACACCAAGACTCCACTCGTGGTAATATAAATGCCAAATGCAACTACAATTAGATATCATTTCTCATGTGACAAATTGGCAAAATTCCAAATATTTTTGGCATGTTTGGTGATGTTGCTCTAGGAAAATAGGTCCTCTCAATAATTATTTGGATTCTATGGAAGGTGTTAGGAATCCTAGTGTGGTGCTATAAGATAAGCACTCGACCGCAAGTTCAGTGTGGATCAAAAGGTCAGCAGCTCAAAATCACCAGGTGCTCCTCAGAAATCCTACACTGGGTCTCTATGGTTGGAATCAACTTGATGGCACTTAACAGCAACATGGAAGGCACTGTATATTGGGTTGTGTTCTTCAAAAAGATACATGGAAGTTCTAACTCCCACAGAAGACATGACAGTATTTGGAAATATGGCTTTTCTTTTGTTATTTTAATGAAGCTGTTGAGGACCGCAAGTACTGAGATGCTGAGGACTGGTTTCATGGACGAAAATCCAACACGATGGCCGCTCTCAGGCTTGCTAGCCAGGGACCCTGATGGCCCAAGGAAGTGACCTCCTGATGTCCCGGGTTCATTGGTTTTTTGTATACTCACTGTTGGGCTAACTCTGTATAATTTTCTTTAGTCCTATTAATTCATTCTATGCTTCGAACTCCAGTAATTGTAGCTTCTGAGAAAATGGTTTCTTATGTGCCTCTCTTAATGTCTCCACTGTGTTGGCAGTGCTTAAGGTTCTGGGAACAAAATCTCTCTGAGGAACAAACTCTGGCCACCTGGCAAGCATAGCAAAACTGTTCTTTATCAGATTATTCAGTTATATTTGATATTAACTTAATACATGAGCCCTTGATACCCATGGACAAATATTAAAACAAAAACCTCTCCTAAAGCCAAGGCTGTAAAACGTTCCAAAGGCAAGTTTGCTGGGCTCTGGAGAAAATTCCCCCAGAGAATTCACTCAAAGTAGATTGGTGACTTCCGGGGTTTTGTTCAAAGAATAATAGTGACAGCCTTCTCAAATCATTCCCAGGTGCAAACTATTAACCTAGGCGTCCTCCTTCCTCCTGCAAGCCTCAGCCAGGTAGCTGAAACAGCTGGACTCCTTCCAGACCTTTTGAATCCTTTTCTCACTGTTAATTAGGCTTGAGAAACCTCGAGTTGCTGCCTTGGGATGCGAACCTAAAAAGTACTATATAACAATTTGTTTGAATTTCTGGAAAATTAAGGATGTTAGATTATCAAGACAATTTGTGATGTATGTTTTAGAATTTGTTCCTATGAATCATTGTGTCCTGTTTTAAATGATTAATCACATTTCACTTCTGTACCCTGTCTTAATAAACCCCTCCTTCCTTTGTGTAAAGCTTCTCCCTGAAATAAAAAGGAGGTGCAGACTGAAGCCCTCATGTGTTACAGCTTGTAGGGCATGCATTATGGGCAGGCAATGCAGTTGGCAAGGTGTGCATACTGCCTGCATAGCTATGATGTTTACAATGCAGGATTTGTCTGACGCCAGTGTCGCATCCACTCTGGTCTCGGGGTGTCTTCTTGTCTCTCTTGTTGCGTCTTTGTGTGTGCTCTTTATCTGTCTCTGTGCCGCCAGATCTCCCTCCTTCGTGAACCAAACTCTCATGTCGAGGCCAGTTATCGACATGAAGCCATACTGAGTGAGTGGGTCCTAAACTTAATTGCATCTGAGTGTTATCTTATAAAATGGAAAAGGAAACATACATAGGGAAGGCAAGGACATGGGACAATATACAGCCAACGAATGCCACAGAGCAACCAGGGCTATAAAGATTTGGACTTAGTCTCCAAATCTGTGAGACAATAAGTTATGTTTTATAAAGCCGCTCACTTACGGTGCTTGTGAATATGTGTGTGTGTGTGTTAAAACAGTACTGGGTAACTAAGACAGAGGGCAATCTCACAATCTGTATAATTATAAAAATGTATAGTTATATAATCATTGATTCATCAATCTGATATATGATAATATACTCAATAGAAATAGCTTCACAATGACAAATGAGCAAAGTTTTTATTTCAAGACTGCAAAAAAGAATAGAAACAACCCAAATATAATGAGAAAGTTCTCTTGTACTGATACTAAAGATATCCAAGTTTCTTAAGTAGCAGAACAAACAAACAAACAAAAAACCCGAAGTCATATATAAAATGTATCAGTATGCAATGTTTTAGGTAAAAAGAGTAAGAATGTGCAGTCACATAGGCTGACTGTTTCATAAAGAAGCGATGCCAGTATAATAGTCATTAGTGGACTGGGCACAGAGATCAGGGCAGATAGGGAACAGGAGTTGTTGTCGTCGAGTCTGTTCCTACTCCTAGTGACCCTGTGTAGGGTTTCCAAGGAGTCACTAGTAGGTTTGAACTGATAACCTTGTGATTAGCAGTCCAGTGTTTGTCCTACAATGCCTTACCAGAACTTAAAATGTGCCAATCTATACCTTTGGTATAGCTTTTAAAATGTTGAACTCTGTTACTAGATTATCAATTCAACCTCCAAATTAGAATTCTATTAAAGAAAATGCAAGTCCAATTTTATTCTCAAGGAAAAATAAACCATCCATTGTTAGGTAGCATCCAAACAATGAGAAGGATTTAGCTCTGTCATCTGTCTCCAGTTGGTGTTTCCATTCATACCCTATTCTCATTCTGCTTTGTCTTGGACTTGAGATTGGGGAGCTGTCACTTCAGATTTCACAAGCATTCTCAACAGCCAGTCTCAGGCTCTCTACATCTCAGTCCTGGCTTTCTGCTTCTCTGGGCTTCTGTTTCCTGATTCTCTTGCTTGCAGATTTTAATTTCATTGCCTGCTTGAAGCCTGCTTCTAGTTTTGAGAAGTCATATAGACACTCCTTTGTTGGGTTTTCTGACTTCAGTACATCTAGCCTACTTGCATCCTTAGCCTGCCTTCTTCCTGTTGATCAGTTAGCACATTTCCTGAAAGTAACCCAGTTAATAAGAGAACGCTACTTTATGGGCACAAAGAGTGAGTGTGTATCAGTGGTCCTATGGCTTTGTGGATTTTCAGGAACAGCCCTAGTACTGTAAAGCAATTTTTACCACTTCTGTGCTGTACACCTACCAGGAAGATAACACAGGACCCAGCTATGTTTCGTTATGCTATGCATAAGGTCACCAGGAGTCAGAGCCCACTCAATTGCAAATAACAAGAACAACTTGTAAATCATTTAGAGCATCCATTCATTTTGTAAAATTGCAGAGAGTTGTAAACACATATACAATATCTTCTGGGCTACTAACTGCAAGATCGGCAGTTCAAACCTACCAGACGCTCCTCAGTAACCCTATACAGGACCAACATTATTACACTTGGATATATTGTTTAAAAAGTTGTATACCAATTTAAGTATAAATCCTAGTTGATGTCTTGTTTATGATGTTTTATATCTTCTTCACACTTCTCTGTCACAGGCATCTCAAAGACAGAATTTGTTTTATGAAAGATATATTGCTTATGCTATTAGAACAATGCCATGTTTAGCAAATATTGAATGACTGAATAGAAAGATTCTGCATAGGTCTCTTAAAAATGTGGCATTCTTTGAATACCAAGGTGGTCTAGAAATATCAACTTATCCCAATAATCACCACAACTTTGTGACATTACCTACATGAGGGTCATTGGGATCAATATCCAGATTCTGTGACCTGGGAGAGACAGAATATTATATAATGAAGCATTCAACAGAAGAACACAAGGAGATTTCTCTGTACTTACATCTCTGAGGTTAGCTTGAAGCACAGAATTGATGTATGTAGGTGTGTATGCCATCATGATATAAAATGACCAGTAGTGACAGAAATAGAAGACTAAAATGGCCCAAAGTGGTAGGGATTTTATCATAGCCCTAAAGGGAAGAGACCAGCCTGGAGAAGAATCCTGGAAGAAAGCACACATCAATGTCCACTCCATCAGACACAGGGGTTCTCTGCACTGCACTCTTCCCATTAGAGACATCCAGCACACATAGGGGGAAATAAATGATAAGGGAGTCCCCTCAACGTACCTGTTGGGCCAGTGCAGATGTAATGTATTCCTTCTCATTGGTACTGATACAGGGATGACTCCTGGGGTCATTATAAGCAAGAGAAAACCAGAAAAGACAACAGACACAGCCAATCCCACCTAGGAAAAGAGGATCCAGTAAGCATTGAATTAAACACCTTCTATCATTTTCACTCTGCCCTAAGGTGATTTCCCTACTAGAGAGAATGACTAGCCCCAATTCTCTACCCTCTCTGCATGGACACCTTGCATAATATTATCTTAGGTTAAGAATACTCCTTCTGGCTTTGGCCTTTACCACATATTATCTTTTGAAAATTACATGGAATTGCTCAGAGCCTAGACCTTAAAGAATTGTGTGTTTTTGCTTGTCCTCTTGGATCTCGGCTATTGTCATGGGAAGAACATATTCCAATTAGCCAATTTTCTAAGGGAAATGAGAGATGGGTTTCAGAGATGTCTAGGTATCCCACAGAAGTCTGTTGCTTTATACCATTCAGTTTGACATGACAACTTTGAAATGCACCATTATTGAAATCATAACAAAATGTTACTAGTTCTTGCCCCCTGTGCTTGAAAATACCCTACCTGATTATGGACCAATCAAAAATCCCCCTTCTAGCCAATCTTTCAAAAAA